GGGGGGGTAGGCATACTATCAACAAGGTTAATAAGCAAGTTATATCTATTGCAAGTTAAGAAATATTAGTTTGCGTTGGATTACGAACATGAAGAAATGCTAGAATAATAACCTTATCAGCAGCCGCCTGTAAGGTAACATGATCTCCCCATTCACCAGACCTGCAATAGATCAATTTATAAAGTGCAAAGTAATCAGATAGTGAACTTCAAACTATAGGAATATAAATCCTTCTAGGTCTACATCTAAACAGTCAAAAGAAGTAAGATTATAGCAATAACTCACTTGGACATTTTCTTACAATATTGTTTGTACTTCATGGGAACATAGCCTTCATAAATGGAACGAAACTCCTTTAGCTGGAAAAGTTAAATTTTGTAAGACATTATTCAGTTCACAAAATTAACAAAGAAACAATAATTTTATCGCAGGATGAATGCAAATATATGAAACTCGTGAATATTAATTTTGATGGTTAAGTGCTGAATAAACAGATGCACTTTTCAGGATTAGTCCAGAAATAGCTCGTGGCAGATGTGCTTGGAGAATATAAGCATACAGCAGGCGCAATGGAAGATTTCAGTCTTCAATTAAAACTATAAAAATTTAATTTGCTAAAAATAGCCAAGTAATCATCTCATTATTTCGAAAAAAAGGGGTTGGTGCAAGAAGCAAAAATGTTGTTACCCTTAGAGGCAGTTAGAGTGTAAAATATAAGTTTAAGAGTAGAAATATTAGAAACCTGTTTCACAACTTCTTTTCGGACAATTTTGTGGTATTCTGAAGAGCCATACAGTTGGTCAGAGATTGCCCGAAACTAGAATATCCCAAAAAATGACATAAGGCCTTTTTTCCAAAAATTTCTGGGTTATTGTACTGAGAAATAAGAGATAATTTATGTTTTTGCCAAACTGACCTGACAATTGCCATCACCGGAGATCTTCACTTCAAATAAACCATAAGCAGTTAACCTACCGAAGAATTTAAAACAAAGAAATTAGCATGGAACAATGCAACATTGGAAAACTTGAGCAATTTCCATCAAATTCAGAAATCTTGACTTAACTTGAGTCATTCAGCGATCAAAAAGACCAAAAACCTCAAGATTGTAAGGGCCAAAATAGATTATTTTAATTTTTTGAATAAAAAAAGCGAGAGGAAATAATGCATTTAGTTGGTGTTTGGTAGCATCCTGCTAACAGGATTTAGCCACAGATTAACTTAAATCAAACCAAACATTAAAAAAATGAAAATTAAATCTAACACTCCGTTAGATCGAATTTTCTTGCGTTGCCTGTTTTACGACGTAAATCTCGAGTTAGTGAATTTGATTACAAGACAGATTTATTATCTCATCGTTAGTGAGCTCCTACGTTTGTGATTGAATTTGATAAATCCGGATTTATTGGATTTTATAAATGCTATTTAACATAAATCTACGTTGCAGCCAAACACCACCCCATTTTAGTAGATAATATATCTCATAATTTTGCTAACATAACTTCTGGGTTATACATGTCCAACTTGTGTTCATGATTTAAGAAGGGGTCCAAGAAGTATCAATATTTTTTTAGAAATAAAAAAATCAGACATGCCAACAAGTTGCCCTAGGTATTTGAGTATTCAACAATACTGAGACATTATGATAGCGCTATAGATCCTTCCGTAGTTCATAGATCTGTTCTAACATTCTTCTTTTATAGCTATTTCATTCCCAACTTTTTGATTGAGGTAGCACATAAATGGTATACTATAAACGACTTATGAAGGAGAAAGTTACGCCATCTTTTCAAATTTCAAAGACATAAAGGAAAGATAGAGCTTCATTTTCGAATTGGAAACTCTATTAAATTTCTTAGAACTCTAAATTTCATTGGCTTGAGACTAATTTTGACAACAGTAGTGGTTAAAAACCTCTTGAAAAGTAAAAAAGTACCTATCAATATAAATTTGATAAAGATAATGGACGTCTCTCATACATACTTTGCCACGCCACAATGTCAAGGGTAGTGATCTGTGCGGTCTATAAAGACTAGAGCAGCTCCATTCTGAAGTCCATTATTGAAAAAATAGGAATGGCGCCACAGTGAAATCCTCTACATTTCAAGATGAGATTATTTCACTTGCAGCTTTTGTGGAAGTTTTGGTGAAACAAGACTGCTTAATCTTCATTACTGCTAACTCCAGGTTTGTGGAAGTTTATAGTTTTGATAACCTGACGCAGGAACTTTATGGCACATTTTTCCACGTGACTGTAGCTGCTACAGTGTAGCAGCACGGGATTCAATATCACAGGAGACAACTAAAACAGCCCCATATTTCTTCACTATGATTTCTTTCCTATTATTTTATTCATTCCTTTTCAGTCATTTCCTATATATGTATTGTATTAAGGTTTGGAAGTCAAATTTTTATGATATTTTTTGTCAAGACTACAGTAATTGGCATTTAGGGTTTCACCTTCTAGGGCTATATCCTAAGGTAAGAAAGTGCTTCAGTCATAAATTATCAGAGGTGGTGATATCCTTTCAAGGGATTGAGTGGTTCTTCAGCTGCAGCTCATTCTCGAGGGTATGTTTATCCTTACCCAACTACTCTACAACTTTTCCAGCTACCGCCATTGCCTTCCCCTCCCCCCTATGCTGCACTCACAGTCACAGCTGCCGCCCCACACCCCCGGCACACTGTTTTGGTTGTCCAACTCTCCGTACTTGCTACAGCCACCCAGGCAGTAGTATTGGTTGTCGCCACCCAACCACCTATTTCATTCATTCCAACCACCCCCTAGTTGTTGTTGCCCCAGAACAACACTCCTCTTGCTGTCCCACAATTCACAACACTTCCCCTTCACTGCCCCTTACTATCCCAACCCTCCCCTTGGCTATCGCTGCTGTTCTAGGCCCTCCGCTTCACCAACAACGCAATTTCAGCCCATCCTTTTGCTGTCCTTGTGTGAGATCTTGTCTTTTTTTGTTGTAATTTTCCTTGATTGTAACCGTCTATTTGTTTTTAGTAATAATATTTACTTTTCATATTATATATTGGGTTAACTCCGCTATCATAACCACTCAATGTGACTTGAAGGAGTAAGGAGACATGATAGACACGAGGAATGCTGCAGAATCAGATCATTTGCATGTAATGGAGGAATCCAAGAGTGCTACCCATCTTCAACAATTAGAGAACTCATGGTACAAAGTTCCTAATTTCTCTCGGGGTAATGAACCATAGAGCTTGACGCCACGTTATCATCCAACCACCCAAGTTAGCTTAGTATCATTTAATAATGTTAACATTAAAATTATCTGCATGCGCTTTAATGTAATAATCAAAGGATAATTGTGTGTTAATTAACTATCGTCATTATAGCCCAATCATCCATGATTAAGTAGTTCAAACAAAGAACTTGCTTTTGCTGTAAGTGAAAGTTGCAAGTTGACAATTCTCGCAGGGTTTGCAATCAGCTTTCCAAGGTTGCAGGTATTGATTTTAAACTCACTGACACTGGTAACAGATCTCGTCATTGGCTGGTTAAGAAAAGAGAGAAAGAGAGAGCTTCAAATGAATCAATTGAAATCTCAGAGTTAATAGTCTACCCTTCCCTATGCATTTCCTTATAATTCATAACAGAGATATAGCGAGTAGGTTATACTGTGTGCGTCATAAGTTTAATGAACAATGATTTTAACGAAGAAATTTTCATCTGAATTTAATATATAGAATCAAATGAATATATGGTTTTATTAAGACATTGTCCTGGCAACATCTTCTTATGACATGTAGACACAACCGTTTGACGCTATAATCATTTTAAATGGAGCAATTGATCAAGAGGTCAAAATTCAAATAATATAAACAGCTTCTCTGAAGTAAATTCAAAGCTTATGTAGGCCAATCCCACTCAAGACACCACATTAACGGGAACCTCATGCAGTTTTTTATTCCCTTTACAGAGTTTGATGTATAGCATGCCAATGTTTGTGAATTTGTACAATTTTATAGTATTTCTGGAATTTTTAAAATGATATTCAATTTTTTCCTTTAAGTTCCAAGTATTTGAAAGTCATCATAAGGGTCTAAAGTTTTTTGTATCTATCTATATTTTGAATTAGATCAATAAACCAAACTATTTACATGAAAGAAAAGCAATCTAGGACTCTAAAATGCTTGGTAAATGACAGGCCAAATCAAGTTTAAATATTGAACTAAAAAAAAGTTTATACATAGAACTTAAGTCTGATCAAGGGCAACCCTGTTGATTATAGAAACGTAAGGCCTTAAATTCTTCTCATTATCACAGTGTAGCAAGCATCATGTCTGAAAGAAAAGTCATTACACTTGGAAACTTATGGCATGAAAAATCAGACCTACAATGAGCAATCATAAGCATAGTTACCATAAATATTTGAGGTCAACTCTAAAAATTTTCATCCTCTATTTATTTGTGTTTAGTGTTGCAAAAGACGTTAATCAAATTTTGCGCAAATCTTTTACACAATCTCTACTCATACATTTTTTTCTCTAAAATACTGACTCAATATTAGAGCTGTCAAAACGGTTTATTGTTCATCAACAATTCGTGTTTGGCTCATTAAGGAGCTCTTGTTTGATTCATTCGCTAAGCAAACGAATCAAGCACGAAGAATTTTTTTGCGCTGGATATATAAACGAGCCGAACACAAATTAAAATTATTTCGTTCTTGTTCGGCTTATTTAGGCTCAAAATAATATATATATATATATATATATATA